TCATTTTCTTGCTTTCATGACTCAATGTTTGCACCTCTTTTTCTTTCTCGCTAGAAAGATCTTAAATTTCATCACCGAGGCTTTGAATACCATTTTCGAAATCAGAATCCGACGACGACGGGTTTTTCGTGTAGATGCTTGTCGAGAGTTGTACGAGCTATGAGGATTTTCGTCTTTGCCATATTTTTTGCTATAAAAAACTAGGTTTTGCAGATTGAAATGGTTTGAAATCGTGGGCGGTTTTTAAGAGTTATGGGAGAGAGGTTATCACCATAAACATAAGAATAAGAGTTTTTGGTAACTGATAGAGTTCCCTAAAATTGTTCTCTTATAATTTACAATATAATATTGATTTAAAAAACAGACTTTAAGTATCTTTGCGAATAAAGTTGATCAATTTAGTTAATCTGCAAATAAATACATATGACCTGTGATTATGTTAATAAAAGTGATAACTTAGTGCAAGGCATAATTTCTCTTTTGTTAATTGGTCGCTTTAGGTCAGTCAGAAAAACTGATATTACCAACTTACACTACAAGAAAATGATGAAATTTTAATGAAAAAATTTCAACAAAAATATATTCCAATAAAATTCCAATGACATTTTCAATGTATATTCCAATGCTATTATTTTCGTTGGAATTTTTCAATAGATTCCAATGGAAGATCCAACAAAATATTCTGTTGGAATGAGTTTTCCATTGGAATTTCTATTAGATTTTGATAATTCCAACGGCGATGAAAATAAAAATTCTAACGGAAATTTCTATGGTAAAAAACCGTTGGAAAAATAGTCGTTGAAATCATCAAACTCCATCTATAATTCAAATGGAAGACTAATTCAAACAAAATCTTTTTGTTGAAATTTCCATTGGAATCATTCCAACAAAAGTTATACCATTACAATATTCGTTGGAATTTCCATTAAAATATTTTACCGTAGAATTTTCTATTGGAATATAACAATTTTGTAGTGTTAAGGCACAAAACATTTTCTTTTAATAGAGAAAAATAGAGATAGCTACTGCAACTCCTTAAAAAAATCTCATTCTCTTGCAAGTAAATGAAAAGACTGTCTTCGTGTATTGGGGGGGAAAATCACCACTCTCATTCCTCTACAATCAAATAAAATATGTAAGATTAAGGCACTCTCTATATTATTCTCAGCCCATTGTATATTTTGTTATTTTTTATGATGTATTTGTTAGAATATTACTTGTAAGTTGTCTTAAATTCATTCTAAGGGTAAATGAGCCTTGTTTATAAGTCTAGTAGGCTACTCCTCCATCACCAATTGGTTCTGAGATGGAACCTCACTAAAGTGCTTACCCTCTCATGGTGCGCTTCACCAGGTAGGACTGCACCCTCTTCCCCTTGTTCTGTTATGGTATCAGAGTGCGTCTGTCCTAGGACCTTCAATCATTTTCTCTACCCGGCCTGATTTGAGCTTGGACTTACTTTACCCAGCATGTTCTGTGGGCTGGGCTTACGAAGGACTCACAAGCGAGGGAGCATGTTGGAATATCAACAATTAATTTTAGGATGGAACCTCACTAAATTGCACCTAGCAGGCGAAGTTGATGCCGGTCTCTTGTCCCTTGTCTCGACTCAGCTCTCCCTCCTCGATGGGCAAATCTTGTTGGTCTCCGTGGCAACTGGTGGTGGGAATGGGTTCCCAGGCATTGTATACGGCTTTTTCAGTGGACGGTGCGAGGACTGACAATATTATGTCCCTTGGTTTTTGTCTGTTGCTCTTGGGGTGGGGATGGTCGGTCTCCTCTGGCGGGTTTGAGTGCGTTTGGTTGTTGATTAGGTTTATAGTTGTTGATTTCGGTTGTTATATTTTTTTCCTTTTCTTCGTTTTGTTCAGACATATGGAGTCCTATGATTTCTCCAGCCCAGTAAGGGCCGTGATTGTATACAAGTTCGTTTGAAAGGAGGTTTCAACTTTGTTGATGCAGGTCAAGTTAGCCTTATCCGTCTGAGTGTCGGAGTTTGGGGTTCAAGACCTGCTTTGAGGAGCTTTAATCCTTCTTTTTTAAGATTGTCTTTCGTTGTTCTCTTTCGTTTGGTATATTGTTCGACTTCTTAGCGACAATAAAGAGGGCTTTATTGTAATGTTAAGGTTTGTGTCTCAATTATTTTTGTTTTTCTTTTAGTTGCTTTCAATCCAATTGCATATGACTTTTAGTCTCTTTTATGAATTTTATTTGTCTCCTTTTTAAAGTTCTTTTGCTTTGCAGGTGCTTGTACCTAAGACTGCAAACGATCCAAGTTGGGTCGGGCATTGACCTTATTGAGCAAGATTGAATTTTTTTTAGTTACTCGAGCTCATTTTATGAGGGTCGAGCTCGATTCTATAAGGAAATACAATAGCTCGATCTCGACTCAAATTCAAAATACTCGAGCTTGACTCGAAAATTTTTAAGTGGAAATTACCATTAAGTACATATGCTATACTATTTAAATATATACACATATAGGGTATTTTAGTAATTTAACATATATATCGAGTCGCTCGACATGCCGCCCGACAATGCAAAATATAAGCTCGAGATCGACTCGAGTTCGTGCTCGAGCTCAACTCGAGTTCAGTCAAACTCTAGCTCGAGTCGAGCTTTGACTCAAGCGCTCGCAAGCGTCTCCTGAGCCGCTCGACTAGTTTTGCAGCCCTACTTGTACTTTTGATGTGTAATTCCAAATGAAATGACCCAAACTTTGCTCTAGTTCTAATAGATAGTGTCCTCTTGACACCTCGGATGTACTGTTTATTAGTTTTTCAATGTTAATATATTTACCGCTTCCGAGGGGAAAAAAAAAATACACACAATGAGATAGTAAAAACTATTTTTTTTTAATGACA